GGAGGGATTTAAAAGACGTGTAGATGAGGCGCTTAGGGACATGGTTTAGTGGGCATGGTGGTGTTGGGTCGATGGTTGGACTCGATGATCTTAGAGGTCTTTTCCAACCTCAATGATTCTATGATTCTATGATTTACTGGCCTATATACAGCCCAGTCAGCAAACGTACAAAGTTAGATAATATTGGAGCACAGACTCAGAATGATATTCACAAAAAAGTCTCCAATATAAGCAAGGTTAACATTGACTAGAAGTTTCAGCAGTTAAGGAGAAGATAAAAAACGTTACTAGGCAGCAGAGTGAGAACAAGGGGTTGCACTACATGCATATTACGTAGCATTGCTGCCCACGCTATTAACTTTGGCACAATGAGGCAAAACAACTTTTTGGAAGCCGTACTGAGAAATATGCAGAACTTGGTCACAGGTATTGATATGCTTTTGGATGGTAGTTATAGAATGGCAGCAAAATGGTTTCTATATCATGCCCTGTATGAACATCCATGGACATAAAGGACACTTTCAAACTTAAATTCAATACTAACACTTTGTCTCAGTAAAGGAGTAAAAGCAAACAAGTGCACTTATAAGCACACTCAGCCACTAGGCTGTAGAGGACAACACTCAATGTTTTGAGGCAAGACCTCCAAAAACTCTCAAACAGAAACCAACGCAGGGAAGAATGAATTTTCAAGGCTCTAACAGCTCAACTTTTCAGGCACATATGCTGTATCAAGCAAGAGATCTTCTAGGTATGGCCAGAACCACTTTGGAGACATTCCTGACATACCTGTATTAACCCCTATGCATTTATTTCTGTGTTAGAGAAGCTACCATCTGTGACAGAAAATGAAGTTCAGTCCACAAGAATAAAATCCTGAATTTTAGAACTCCATGGTCATCTTAACAACACTGAGATTATCCAACTGAAGCTCATCCATGGCTTTTTTTCTTAGCGGTGTACTCGGAGACAAAAAGTGCTCTCTTTCTAGGTGTATAAGCTTAAGAGAAGACACAAGACAATATCCAACAATGTATGCTCTCTATGGCTTGAATGAATCTGTCACATCATAAGCATCTTGATAACGTTTAAGCAAGGGTAAATGTTAACAAATCTCTTAAAAATCCCACTTAACTCAAAAAAACTGTCTAAAATGACAGTTGGTACAGTTTTTAGGTATAATTACACTAAACTTGCATCTATTTCCAACAATATGAATGGTACTGTTACAAGTCCCAGCACTAAACTGGGGAAAGCTCCTAAATAAGAGTTTCCTGAATGGCCATGCCCAGTTTTAAAAGCAACTTCTTTACAGATTCATAAAGCCTATTTAGCTCATTTCAAGCCAACAGCAGATTCACTGAAATTGAGAAGCCACTTTTGCAGTCAAAAAGTTGGATATGTTTTCCTTTTCCAAGGCAGAGGTAAAAATTAATCCCAAATAAAAATAGATGTGAGTTTCAGGATCTTCAAAGCAATAGTTAATAAAAGTGATTAAACTAATGAAGCAAATGAAGTGTTAGTTGTAATCGGTTTTTACCAAAAAGCGTTCTGATAAAGTTTCTTACTAAATACAAATAGTTCAAGTGTGATGGCACAACTTCAGTTTGCATGTGCACTTTAGTTAAGTGTAAAACTAACTCAAATGGACAGAAATCAAAGTATCTTGAAAATAGGGGGTTAAAATCCTAGATGCAAGATACTGTAGAAAAACCCTAAATAAATGTTAAACTATTTTACTACTTAGGTAACTGAATGTAAGCATAGCATGTCTTCCTTGCGAAGAGGACAAACAACATTAGTATACGAACTACACAAATCAATGAGTTAAGCTACCAAAGACTTGGTAGTTTTAAACAGCCAAAAAAAGCTGATATCACAATCCAAATATGTAAATAAACCAAAAACGTCTTGTGATTAGGCAAACAGAGACCCCATTTTCTCATCACTTATGAACATGGACTCAAGCCTGAACTTCACCCGTTTCCACATTCAGCCAGGCTTTATAATTCATAGAGTAGGAAATCAGAAAAGATCCATGTAAGCGTAATTTTACCTGCTGCATAAGATGGACTAAGACATTTTAAAATACATAGCTAGGACTAGAGAATGTATTGCTTAATCAACTCTGTGTTACCCAAGATAATTTATATTTATATACATGGATTGCAAGTGCCTTTCCATAACAAGCACGCGTGGTGAGAACCAGCGAGCCTCTTGCTGACTTATTTTAAAGAATGCGTAAGCCTGGCCTTGTTGGAGGAAAGCTGCAGTCACATCCCGTAAGATGTGCCCGTGGGGAGTCTTTGCTTAAGTTTCCTGAGTGATTCTAAATTCATTTTCCATAGCCAGATAGTACAATCCTTATTACTGGCAAATACGTGACAGATGGTCGTCACAGTTAAAACATTCATTTCCATTCCTGTCCAGCTGTAATTCCACAATATTGACTCAGGTACATTCACATAAATTAAACTTTCTGTATCTATAACTGATCTCAATTACCTAAAATGACAGACACAGTTAGGGGAGCAAAAAAAAGTTTAATCTTTGCAAAATATATATATATATATAAACTAAGAAAGTTACTACATATATAAGAAGGCTCTGTAACCTTAAATTTCTGTACCTGGAGGATCTTGGCAAATATAGCAGGTATATTTCTCAGGTACATTATCTTCCAGTAAACCCATACAGACTCCATGCTGCCAGCATAGACACTCTTCACACTGTTTAAAGTCAAGAAGTGCACATGAAGAGAAGTTAAGCCTACAGGAGCTCAATGAGATTACCTCAATTAAGAGACACAGCATCTACATATTTTAAGACAAAAATGTGTATTAATACCCACCCACTTCTCCAGCTACAAGCAAATACATTAAAGAATCAGACTACAATAAAATTTGAACCCTTCCCACACATTTTTCACATGATTTCTGGAGAATGACAACAATTACAAAGTGGAAGCAGAGATCCTGAAAGGTGCAAAAGTGTTCCCTCTGGAGATTAAAATCTTCCACAAGATGCATGCACACATAATCAGGACAGAAAACAGTATGCAATCAAGCTTTCTTTAGCAAAATATATCAAGTTTTCTGAATTAAAAGGTTTCCCCTTCAAACAGTAAGTCACATTCAATTATAAAATCCAAGTGGTATTTATGTCACATAAGACTAGCCAATATTATGCTTTACTAATACTTTTATCTCTAACATTTTATCTATTTCAAAGGTAGCTCTACTAATGTAAAACTAAAGTGCAGATGCAGTTGTACTAGCTTTAAAAACTTCTGATATCCTTCCAAGTGCGAGCAATCATATTGGCAAAGACCAAATATAATTTGGCCCTACTTTTTCAGCGCAGTTATGCTATTTAAAATGCAATCACTGTACTTAAAGCCATACAGTTTTGGAGCAGGAAAAACTATATCCACATGTTCTGTTTCAGTCACTTTCCCCACCCACACACACTTTAACAAGCAGACAAAACTTCAACTGTAGCCTAAAGACCACTGAAACATGGGACAAAACCCCACATATTAAGTAAATTGATTTGAAACTGTGGTGTCAGTTCAGAATTACTATTTTCACAAGCAATAAGACAACAGATCATAACCTTTATTTCTCAGAGCACAAGCCAAACGCTTAATGCAGAGATCTTGTCAATATTGGCAAAGGTTTTCAAAATGAGCTAAAGCAAACACAAACAGCAACTGCAAGCAATCTTAGATGCTGCTCTTCACTGACTTACAAAGATGCTAACTTGATAAACATCTCATCTGTATTGAAGACCACTTATACCACTTTTATTAATGCTTTTCTTATCTGCTGCCTTTCCTCAAGCTAGGAGAGACAGAAAGGGACCACCAGTTTTTTAATACGTCATCGCATTAAATTAGTGGTCTAGGTGTGGAGGAAATAGAAGCACCGGGAACAGAGAATGTAAAAGGTTAGAGAGAAACAGGTTTCTGAAGATGCAACTAACAATGTTTTTGCCTTACAAAATGGGTAAACAGTCCTAAAGCAATAAGGAGATGTTTTCAAAAAAGGCTGAGACACCATCCTTCTTTCACAAAGATGATTAGCAAGAGCCAGAAAAAGGTGTCCTAAAAGGAAGAAAACAGATTAAGAAAACTGCATGCTAAAAGGAAGGGAGCTCCTGGACCTAGTTACACTTAGATCCTATAAATCATGCCATATGGCACAGAGCTACACTCAGCGATTTTTTCAGGCAAATTTGCCCAGAACTCTAATGAAGCATCCCAACTCTTTTTATTTTACTCAACTGATATTTAAATATCCACCCCATCAGGGCACAGGTCCTTCCTTTTATCTGTATGTTCTGCTTCACAGCTTGGCTGGCCAGGCTACAGGCTATTGCTCTGGACACATGCTTCATAGAAGCTACCCCCTGCCCAGGCAGTAGTAGGGAGATTCAAAGCAAGCCAAGTAAGAGATTTTAAAGAGGAAAAACATGCAGAGTTGTGCAATAATATTTAAATCAAAGTTCAATTGCGAAAGAAATAACTGAACCCAATGTACATGTATTTAAAGCAGTTGTTCACCTACCAGAACAAAAATATCCCAAGTCCATTTACATCCTTCACCTCAAAGGCCACAAAATCCAGCCCCAGAATTCTCTACATCACACACAAATTCACCAATGTTTAGGTATAAATCCAAAAGGAAGGGACAATGACATTTTGTCTGGACTTTTTTGGGCCCGAGCCTTACCCTACAAAGGGAGTCCTGTGCCTTCAGAAGCAACACATGGCAATGCTAAGCTACTACTTTACACAGGCTCCATAAATGAAATCCAGTAACCTCCTTTCAAAGTTACAGAGACTGGAATGAAACACCATTGACCAATGATGTATTGGTTTTTATACTTTTTTCCAGTTTTAACTTCTACTAACTGAGCTAGATACTTACTTTAAATGCAAAACCGTATTTCAGTCTCCCGGTGTAATGAATGGTATTCTTTATGCAAAAATTACTTTAGACAATTAATTTAAGGCAAGTTCAAGATAAAGGAAGAGTTTTTTGCAAAATCTCTAAGCTGAATTTTGGGGGGGGTTTATTATTAGTTTAAAGACCTAAATGGAACAAACTCTCGGTTTAACTGTGTAAGAGTTTCATTAAACCTTAATGGTCCCTGATCTTTCAGGAAAAATAAAGGTGCTGCTTGTTTTTAAAATTAACATTTTTTCCTCATTATTTCTAAATTTGGCACATTCATGGAAATGATCGCAGTTCAAAAAGGAAATTACTTACCAATCTCCCTCTTGTAAAAGGGCACCATACATGTATCCTGGGTGGAATGAACCTCCAGTCACATGCACGGAGAAACTGCCCTGGCTCCTGATTTCGATACCAAGTCAAGGCAGACTGGCACACAGGCACATGCTCAAGCAAGTACCCCAAGCGTCAGCGTACTTCAGTCAGATCTCGTCAGAGTAATAAACGGGCAGAATAAACACCCCAATGGAGACAAGTACAAAGAATGACAATATTCTTTCTAAAAACCCATACACTGAGCAAAATTACCTATCTGCAGGAAGAGAAGGCAAGTCTAAATGCAAGTTCTTTAGGGTAGACACTTGCAAATTTGAGTTTCCAAGTGTCAAATTAAAGTCTGAGTAGGAAATAGGGAAGAAATCTTTCCTTCTTACAAAGTTATGACAACTACGCAGGATTCTCACTCTATAAAGTCAAAGGGAAGCGTCAATCTCTGCACTACACCTCTGAAAAGCTGAAAATAGGCTCCCCTCATCATAATTCCATAGTTGTATAACACAGCATCTTTGCTTTGTATTAATGCTCCGTACTTAAAGAGCTAATTCAGGCATTTCTACATCAACAACAGAAGACCAGACTGTTCAAAACATTTTCCGCAAAACTACAGGCTGACAGAAAGGTGTGGGGAGCACAGCATTTGGTACTTTAAGCAAACCATCTGCCTAACCTACCCCCCCAAAATCTTGTTACCAGCTCCTTGCTCTCCAATTCCTATTGCTTCAATCCCTGTAATGAATGCAACTACTCACCACGCTGCCGATCTGCATGTCTTTTCCAGAGAGAATAACCTGCTCTCCTAGACAATTCTTTTATAACACAGCTGAAGTGTTCAAAACTTTGCAATACACTCAGAAAGACCCCAAATTAGTTCAACTTAGAAAACTGATCTCAGAAGCAGCCCACGAAACCTTACATGACAGCTATCCATAGACTATGTCCTGAGCTAGCTGACAAGTTCGCTGCATTCTGCAATCATAGACTAGTGTTTTGCCTCCATTTGCCAGAAAACTATACTCCAGACGATATCTTTGTGTTTTTCATTGAGCCATCTCATCAGAAGGCAGACAGCCCCCTTTATTCTCAACTGTCAGACTCCTTTTCCTCCTATACACTCAGATGCTATTTATCTAATTTTGACCACTGCCCATCACTGCACCCTTTCCTACCAATGCACAAGGTATCTTTTGCCCTGTGTTGTCAGGATTCAACACTAATACAAAGGTGTCCATCAAAATGAACTCAGCACTAAGAGAAAAAAAGTGTCATACCTTCCAGAGCAAATCTCCATAAAATAGTATGGAAGGCCAAAGAAAACTACCCAGTGAAGTTAGCTGTTAAACTCAACTGTTGAGGACAAAAATCAAATTTAGCTGCGTTAGCTAGCCCTATTAAAAAATTTTAAAGTTAGGCTGTTGTTCAGAGCAAAAAAGGTGTTTCTACACTGTCCTGCTGCAGAAGCCAAAGAATTATTCACACTACAATTTAAACAGTGCACCCTCTCTTCTCCTTAACAGGTTTCTACCTCCATTCAAACAATAAAGTCCACCAAAAAATCAGCAGCAGATGTGAGGTAGGTATAGATCAACTTCTGTCCTTCCTCCTAGTTCCAAGTAGCAAAAAAGAAACGCAGTTCACAGCAACATGCCAGCAACTATCCCAGTAAGGGGTCCCATGAAGTGGGATTCAAACCTCACAAAAATTAGCAACAGAATGCCTGGGAAAGTGAATTCAAAAGCTGCAGATGGGGGTGAGCTTTGTGTGCCAGAAAAGTATTTCTGAAGTCAGTGTCATGCCATATCCTTTCACAAACGAAACAGCCTTCTCAAAAGAATGCAATAATTACCTTAAAAATTGCAATGAACACAGCTACCAAGCTATACTACTGTCACTTTGAACTGAGGTCCCACAACAAGCAAAAAGTTATCTAGACAGGAAGGGTGGGAGCCTCCTAAAAAAAAAAAAAAAAAAAAAAAGAAAAGAAAAAACTCATTTCTTCAGAAGGGCAACTATGAAAAGCTTGTGATCTAGGTTCAAGAGCATGACACACTTAAGCCCCTGCATATGCTTCTTCTAAGACTTAGGGGGAATTACCAAAGGGGACCATGCAGCTCACGTAAGCAGCAGTGGCAAAATGAACTAGAGAAAAAAATGCTGAAGAAGTTTTTCGTTGATATATTTGACTTCACTATTTGAAATTAATAGGAACTGGGTGGAATGACTCAGAGCAGCTATGTGGGGAATGGTTTCCTGATAATTCACAAATGTCTCAAAAAGTGAACAGCCAGGGCAGTTCCAAAGAGGCTTTTATCAACAGTTTTAAGCAGGAGAGAGAGAGACACTGCTCTGGCTGGAAACAGTTTTCTGTAAAGTTGCTTTAAAAAGAGTACATATATGGAGAATGGACAGATGGCCTTACACCGATTAGGAACTCTGAATTTACAAACTACAGAAGCAGCTGCAGAATGGACAAATGCAGCTCTGCTTCAAAACAAAAGACTCAATTCATAATTTTTTTGTTCATCCTATCTAGAGGATTGTATGTTTAAGTCAAACTTCTTGCCAGGGCAGAGAAGTGGAAGGGTACCATGATCTGATGGCAACGTTCTGAACATTCTCAGAATTAGAGGGAAGCAAAAAAGCCAGATAAAAAGCCACTGATTTTAAATATGTATTCTCTAAACCTAGGAAGTGTTCTAATTTTTAGAAAAATGCAAATCCACAAGTGACAAGCCAACCATTAATGGCTTGTATAGAATTGTCCCTCTTCCCCCACTTTCCTTCAATTAAAAAAAAAAACAAACTGAAGATTTTTCACAAACTGTATCAAAAAGCAAAGTTTTCCACCTACCATACCAGTTGCTCACCCTGACAGGTTATCTTAAAAAGTTTTATGATTTCAGAGAAAAACAATAGTTTATTTCACGTACAGAACATACCTGTGCATATTTCTACAATAGCTTCTCCACTGACACCTTCCACTGTATTCACCAAAATGTGCATTCACCCTCCACTTCATACCTGAATCATGAAGTCGTTTTCTTCTTTTACTTCACAAACACACCGAACAATCTCAAAATCACTTTCTTCAACTTCTTCGTCAGGGTTTGTGGTTACATCAACATCCTGACTGCAGTCATCATCACTCCAAAGCAAGCTATCCATAGATGACTCACTCAGGGTGTCATCCTCTGTAGAAAAAGTAGTTAGATAAAATCCCGAGTAATTACAAAGAGGTCAAATAACTCTCAAGATTTCATCCCAAATATGCAGACATACATTTCTAAAAGCAAGAGTTCACCGTGTAATTTGAGGAACATCACAATGTTACTAAATTATGTAGTAACCTTCAATAAACAGTAAGACCTTTTTGTTTTGTAAACAGTAAGTTTATTGAAGGTTACTACATAATGAAGTTTTATATTCTCATTAACAGCGCCTTCAAAATATTCCAACTTAACAATTTCTGCCATTAAACTTGTACTCTCAACATACAGTGCCTCAAACCAAAGACACAAAGTCTCTTTAGACAAGTAAGTATAATAAACAAACCCAGATCTATAAATTCAAATAGGATTCACACTAGTTTCTGCAATTTGTATGGAATTGTGACTTGGTACTTTAAGTGTAGAGCTCCCAAAAAGAGATGAGGGTTCTGTCTTATGAACCATTTGATCTCACAAAATAATGTCTCCATTACAGAAACATTCAGAGTCCAACACAGAATTTAATCCTGCTTCAGAAATGATTAACTTCATTTAGACTCCTGTTGAGGACACATTTATCAATTTAGGGGCAGTGCACTGCCCAAGGTATTCTTTAAGAATGCTCTCATGCTACTTAAAGCATTAATGCATCTCTGTGGATTGAATAAAACTGCCAAGAAAATCTTTATTGAACAACATGCTAAATTGAGATGCTTATCTCAATAACATTAATGCAATGTCTACACCTTCCTTGGGGACAGAATGGGAGGGTCAGAGAGAGAAGATAAGAATTTTAATTATTTGGGAAATACTCTAATGAGCTGGAGGAGAGCGGAAGGTAAAAATTTTAGTCACTCTTAACTAGATTGTGGTCTCTCAGTTATATTGGGTAGAACGATTTTGATCACTTAGCCCCAAAAACAAGACTGTAGAAATAGAACCACCACTCTGTGGTATATAAACTAGATCTTTTGGAGAAATATCTGTTCTCAAATTTAAGGGGCTGAGAACCCAATGCATTAGTTAATTTTCATGTTTAAAAGTTTTATTCCACTTCTGAGATACACCACTTTCCTGAAGTACTCTGGAAGCAACAGGTTAAGCATGCTGCACTTTCATTCTACACAAGAGTTTTACTATGACTTACACCAGATCTTATTTATATAGACACTGCTTTTATTGTTAGTACAAGTTCTGCAGATGCAAAAAGCAGCAAAGCAACTGTGAAAAGGACGAAATAAAACTATTTCCAATACTTTTCACCTCTTTCAATGTCTATGAACTGATCAAAAGAAGTCTGAGCAACTGATGGCCAAGTTACTAAACTGCGAGTACGTTCTATGGTTGATATGCTCCAAAAATGCAACTGATCAGACTTGCAGAACATGTTTTAAGACATTATCACCATCTGCACTTCAGTAGTTTTTAATGTTTCCTCTTTTCCCTATACAATGGAATTAACTTCAGTTAATTTTTACATTTTGCCTAATACCAAACAATAAAACGGTTGTGTCAAAAAAAAGTCAAATGGTCACCAACAGCATACCCATACAATAAGGAATTTAAGGTTCCTGTACATAATCAAGCTGTCATACATTTCCCATTTCCTTCAAATTTGTGAGCTTTAAGAATAACAGAAAGAAAAAAAAGTTTGTCTTTGGTTTTTATTGTACCAGCTTGTGACAGTGAATAGCAAGATAGACCAAGATATTAAAAATTATGAAAGCTGGAAGACACATTTTTAGGAGCTCTGTTTATGAAGTACTATGAAGACACTAATAAATAGTTACTCAAGAGCTTCTCATCATTATGAAGCTCAGAAAGTCATTATAACCATGTATCATACGGTACCTGTACAACTACACATAACCACATCCAGTGGTCTCAAACACAGCACACATACTGTATAGAACTTGCATAGCATCTATTTTTAACTCTGAATGAGCTACTACTTTGAGGAAACCTTAGGAAATATGAAAAATTTAGTTACTGAAGTCTGAACGTTGTAATTATAGAGTTAATAAGGTGCTGCAAAAAGGTGCAAAATGAGTTTGAATTCTGAAATAAGGGCAACGGTCTTAAAGCTTCTGTGAAGATAAAGTCAAAGCAAAAAGCAGCAACATCAAGCTCTGGCAAATGAACTGGGTTCAACTTCTTCAGGCAGGGGAAAGGAAACACACACAGCCCTGCGTAAGAATAACCAAATTTATATCATGAGTACCAGCTTTCGTGCATATTAGTGCAGCTCACACATTTACTGGTGATGAAAGACAGAACCAGCAAACCATAGAGGAGAGTCATCTTACCGTTTGTTTTTGATTTTCCTCTGTGCTGTCCAGAATCGGAGCAGTGTAGCAGTGTGCTTGGGTGGGCAGATGATTTATTTGAAGAAATACATTTTGTGACAACTGATTTTTCAGGAGAAAGCTCCTGGGAAATATCTGTGTTTTCTTCACTGCCAGAGTATTCTGTAAAATTGTAAGCAGCATTATTATTAGAAATCTGTGGTCAAAAAAAGTTGGCAGAGGAAAAAACAGCACCATGCATGCCCACAGCAGGCATATATAATTCACGGAGACAGTCTCTACTTCAATATGCTAGGACTCTAGGACTTCACTATGCTGCTGAAAGATTTGCAAGCTTTCTAGAGGCAAGAAAGTTATTGTCTGAACTAAAAAAATCTTATGCAGCTCAGTCATCCTTCACTGCTGGCGTAAGTGAGAAAGGCTGAAAAGACTGGTTATTTAAACCTAACTATTCCTCGGGGTGAATATGTCTACAAATGCTTTTGCATTACAGACACTTCTAAACAAGCACTGTTAGCTGGAGACTTCTCCCTCACATTCCATTACACACATTCCCTAATTTCACAGACTATGAAGTTGACAGAAAGCATCTCTTCTCTTATTTTCCTAGTGTATGTTTGCAACAGGATGCATGGGTGGAAAAGAAAAGCCCCGATTAGAAACGTGGAGAAAACACCTAGAACAGTTCCTCTGTGAAGTACCCATTCGCCACGTCCTGGACTGCATATAAATCGAGGCTGTCTGCAGTTATAAGCAGTACCCTCCAATCGGTTATCTGGAGGAAACCTTCAAAGTTCCTGGACTGAAGAACCACAAGGGCAACATCAAGAAAAGGCAAGCAACATTTTAAAACCCAAGGGTAGGTGGACAAGCAATTTGTGGGTACTCTTTGTGCAACTACTGCATAAGTCTACAAATTATACTTTGCATATTATCATTATATTTGAGGGCACCATATAATCAGAAACTCACTAAAATTATTTGTTTCAGTACAATTCTGAGTTAGTCTGCCTGTGGTTGGTTCTTCCCCTCTACTCTCTCATGACAGCTTGCCCTATTTCTTCATGGCAGCAAACAAAAAGATAAGGTATTTTCTTTCCCATCTCAAACTCCTCTGTAAGGAGCTCTAGTTTAACAAATTAGGTATGCCAGATTGAAATGTACTGCATTAATGATCCTAGACATCCATCAATGGCAGAGAAAGTTGCCACGCTTGATCTGCAAACATTTCACTAGAGAAATCTTTCAGAATCAATTGCGATTTTCAGAAGTGTAGAATCCCAATAACACTTGGGCCTACATATGAAGTTCAAAGTGTAAAGTGGCCCAGGGAAAGCATTCCCAAGCCTCTGTAGAAGAATTCAACAGAGAAGACATGTTCCTACTATAACCCTATTAATGTACGTAGAACAGCATGTTATGAGACACGACAGAGGGACAGAGCATGAGTATAGACTTTAAATCAGGCTTTTACTTCATCTCTCCAGGAGAGGAGAGATTTATCCTTTAGGGAAAAAAAATTAGGATGTGACAGGCTTAACAAAGCTCATTGTCACAGCCTCTGAAATCCCATACTATGTGAACGTGTAAGAAATAACAAAGTTAACGGCAGAAAAAGAGGACCCATCAACATTCCCAAACTCCATCATTCATACAGGAGCCCCAAAACTAACTCATGTAACTGAGAAGATCTGGTACATGGGGTACTTGTTAACAAATCAAGGGGATCCGCACCCTCTTTAACTGGGTAAAACTTGCATACAAGTACACTTGCTAATGAAAAGCCAGACTTAAAGATTGACATATCCATTGTGGAGTTAGATTTATTCAGTGCCATTACAAGCACTATTATAAGCCGTCATCCAGCATTAATGATGCACCTAAACCAGGAAATAAATTATCTTGCCAATCACAATTTAACATTAACCACTTAATAAAATTAGAACTAACAGATTAATGAAGAAAGCAGTCTTATCTGCAATGCCCACTCTTAAGAATGTGGAACTGGGTAACAGGCAAAACAAAATAATGAAGCTGTTTTCCTCTACAGAAGAAAAGAGAGCTTTACCAGGCTTAGTTCTCTTTTTCTTTTTTTTCTTTTTCTTTGACTTGGACCTTCCATAGTCTTTGGATTTTCTTTCTTTGTTCTTCCCTTGTTCTTTAACAGCTGAAATTAGACAACATTCCAATTTAATTTTTAGGATATATACACACCTATTCTACTTATTAATTTTCTTAAAGACCTCCAAGGTTTGTTTGGACAATCAGGGCCAGTTCACTGCAAAAAACTACAAGAAAACTTATTTGTAAGAATTCCCAGCTCTCATAATTGGAATGGTCTGTTTTAGGTTCTAATTTGATTGTCCCACAACAGAATTACAATAGCATGTGGGAGAAATCCACTGTATACCAATGCCCATTTACTACTTATGTGCTTCACAGATTATTAAAAAAGAAAATACTGGGAGATTTGTTATATCCATTTCCTAAATTATCATGGCTGAACTTTCAGTAGCATTGTGACAGAAGTCTGACAAAAACAAAACCGCAACCCCCCAAACTCTAGTACAGTTCCTCAGTCAAATATTTTGTTTTCATTGAAAAGTGGAGTAACAACGGGTTCAGTTGGCTTTAACTGCTATTATCTCACCATCTGTTCTCCATTTTTATGGGAATAAAAAAAACACCGTAATTTTTGAATGACTGGGTGATATCTTTCAATCAAGTCCATCCTCAAAGCATGCTTCCAGAGCGCTTGCCATGAAGTATAACCCCACTGCAAGGTAATGTGCACAAACCCTTGCTTTCCATATCCTAGCATTTTTTTTACAACTCCTATCTTTCAGACTTAGGTCTCTGCAGCAGAATTTCTAGATACTTATACAATTCCTTAAGTAAATTATCCTGACTCAGCCAAGACCATAGGTACAACCATAAAACCTATTATGGAAGGATGCCTTGCATCTCAAAAGGGCTCTGCTCGCAGAGTGCCTAGCTGATTAAGCCACTCACCATCCCATTTAGAAACCTATTTCAATTTCTGATTATTGATATGAGAATAAACACCTAAAGGCACTCTATACTGTAAGAAACCTTCTCCTATACAAAACATTTTAGAACCCTAGCTGGTCTGTAATGACTCATGAAGCAAACCAGTAATACCAGTGTATTATGTTAACCTCTTTCCCACATGCTAATAGTAAACTCCCCAATTCGCAGTCTAAGGCTACATATTTATGGTACAAACAGCTGACTCCAAGAAACGGGAAATCTCAGTCGTGTTTTACCAGCTGTGATGAGCGTGCAGGAGACATGCTCATTAGCTCCTCCTCATGAGCGTCTTCAGCTCTCTGTCTCCCCATCCTCTTAGTCCTTGAACATCTGCTACTTTGCCACTTATGTTCCTCTTTAGGCATGTCATTAGTGATGGCTGCTAAAATTGTGCATTGCCAGCAGCCACATTAATGGCTGACACTGATGGTAGCCTGCCATACCAATTACATGTCCTTCAAAGGGAATATGACTGGCAGCACAAAAGAGAACCTTCATCCCCGCTCCATTACCATTTGTTGAGGGGGGTAAAAAAAAAAAAAAAGAAAAAGAGATTCATATTTAAGTCTCAGCACAGAGTTTCCAACTTCCTTCTTACTCTCCTTTGTCCTCATCTCCTAGTCCTCCAGTGGTCAGGATCCTCTGGGTACCATTTCCTTCTCCCTGCTCATACACAGGGATGCAAGTAAGTTCTGCCATTTTATTCTTCCATAAGGGCAAAGAGAGAATAACTGAGGTCAACATAGGTAGGAAAATTTTGCATCTTTTCACTTGGGAATTGAAATTTGCATGGTCAGATCACCTGATTTGTTTTAAGATGTCCGAGAGTGCAGAGTATGCTACTTCAGTCACTATCAACATATCCGTGATAAATATGACAAAAAATTGTCACTTTGTTCCATACTTTTTCCCCTTGAGCTTGCCAGTATGTCTTTTAAAAATCTGAAAAAATCCAAGTGTTTGCAAATTTCTGTGTACAGCTATCTTAACTGCACAGCACAGTTAATGCAGGATTTCTTTTTCCTAAGAAAAAAAATCTGCAAAGAATGAGTATTATAAAAGGGACCTTCCAAAAACCCTGTACTGAAGAATCTTTTTGTCTCAAGTTTTTTTTCTTGTAAGCACTCTGAAGTCTAATGGATTCTCACTGAAAAAAGACCAGGTAAGGAGGCTACCTAGGTTAGGAGCATCCTCATAGATTCACATGAGCAAAGAGAAAGGTAAACTGCCTTATATAATCCTAAAAATTCACCACACAACCACCACATTTTCAAAAAGGATTTTTTTGGCAAAAACATAAAAAGACCTAAGCCCTCTCAATTTCCTTGAACAGCAGAGAGACTAATCAGGACCAGGATGAGTACTCAGTCACATCCTCCACCACCACTGTGAAAGCTTATTCTAATCTCTATATGCCATACTCTCAAATAAGAATCGTCCCACTGAGTCAGCCCAATGAAGAGACACTAATGGATTTCATTCAAACCTTCCTACAAGGGAAGGCAGCAAAGGATGCCCAAGAATAAACAGAGGTGGTAAGTATTGACTGACTACTATGACCAACAGAACAATACAGTGACAGGCAAGTAAGGCCATCTTCTCAAAACGATCTCCGGAACAAAGATCACCTGTTACAGACAGAATGGTTTAAGGACAGGTATTTTTGTGTTTTCTTCATCACTGTGACTCAAATTCTCACCACATATCTGAAGGAAAGTGGTGATGTAGTAAATCTGGAAGTATGCTGGAAATTATTTCTGTGTTATTTATGTATATATAAGAATATATTTAAATATATATTATTTTTATGTATGTGTGTATGTATAAGCACACCCCGCCCCCTGCACGGCTGTTACCCACCTGTATTATAGTACATTCCAGTATAAGTGGGGTTTACACTATACCACTGAACAGTCAAAGTTGTGAAGTAAAGTTGTTCAGAGATGTTTAGTAGCAAGGAATGTTGACTACCAGAAGTAGTCAAATGCTATTAAACAAAACTACAAGGGGTTTAAGTTTCTCAAGTTCAGAATTACTTAAAATATTTAATGCTTTGGACAACAAAGAGTTTAACAGAATTAAGACACATGTATCAAACACGTATCAAACAAGCAAAAAATAAGCAAGAATACTTTAGTACTTTTTACATCTTAAAAATACTACACACTGACTGGGAAGATTAAACCCCAATGCGTATAGCAAGAAAACTTATAAAGTTTCTCAAGTTCAGAATTACTTAAAATATTTAATGCTTTGGACAACAAAGAGTTTAACAGAATTAAGACACATGTATCAAACACGTATCAAACAAGCAAAAAATAAGCAAGAATACTTTAGTACTTTTTACATCTTAAAAATACTACACACTGACTGGGAAGATTAAACCCCAATGCGTATAGCAAGAAAACTTATAAAATTCTCTATATTGATTCTTCATCTGAAACTACTGCAAAGAAACAGTGGAAAAAACACCACTTATTTTATACTGTACAATAAAAAATTATTAAACTGTCTAAAAGAAGATACACAGAATACTTTGTCAATACTTTGTCATTATTTTCAGTTCCTTACAATGCTTAAAACTTTTCCAAGACTTTTCCAAGTTTAACTTTTTCATGTTAAACTAAAAAGGCGTACCATTTTCAACTCTTTCTTTTTCTTGAGGCTTCCGCAGCGATCTCGCTATGTGGTTCTTGGTTTGTTCTCTAACAGAATGTCGGTGACTATTTAAGACACTTACAGGAGTTGAAGTTCTTCTCTTTTCTATTTTTTCATCTCTATATGGGGTACTCCTTAGGGCTATGTGTAGAGGAGCATCTACAAAGAGAATAAAGACGAAGTCCAAGCTTTAAATACTTTCAAAATGTAAGTCTACTTCACCAGCAGCAGCTCTGGTAGTCCATGTGGAACATTTCTGATCAGACACACTGCTCAACTCACAATCCTAGCAACTTGACCACGGAAAAGCTTTTAAATAGAAGCTGATTTAAAGGCTAAAACTGGTAATGAGTTTGTTGGTTTGGGGTTGTTTGTTGGGGGTTTTTTTTGTTGTTGTTGCTGCTGTTGTTTTTTCCCCAAAAAGAAACAGCGGATGCAAATGCATTCCCCAAAGCTCTGTTCTTCCAGAAATACTGCGGCTTTGAAGAAAGATGGAAAGAGAGACAGTTCAGTTTGACAGAGATATGGGTCAGGTGAAGAAACTAGTAATAAAAATTAAGAGAAAAGAAAAGGGGCCCTGTTGATTTAATTAGAGGAACCACAGCCTGTTTTCAAAAGTGTGCTTTGTAATGAGGCATATAGAAGTGGCATAGAGAAGCTCTGCACATCTAAGGGTGGGCAGTTTTTAAATACATACCACTGAAACAACAGCGTTTCAGCTGAGAGTGAGATGCAAGAATTCAGGATCACTACCTAAAATTCACAAAAACCATGAGATACAGACATGGCTTCATCTGAGATTCCATTTACTATTTAAGTCAAGTCAAATAGTTCTCATCTTCCTAACTACAGCTAGCAATTCCTACCGAAAGAATCCTGGACATGGAAAAAGAAAAGCGAAGCTAATAAAAAGCTAAGGCTGCATGGCATGTAGGACAGCCAGACTAAACGAGACAAGTACATTGCCATTTTGGAGTATGACATCAAGTATCTCGGTCAAGGAGACCCAGAAGCCAAGCTGACAGCTTGCTGACTTTGATCAACAACGTCCAATTCTGTCACCATAAGCATCTCGAAAGTTCATTGGATATGAAAGGCAACTTCCTTCTTGTCTGAAGACTTACATGCCAGCTGGATTTTCACTTGGACACCTCTAACTAAATAATTGTGAGCAGTACCTGAAAATGACTGAAAACAGAAGGAAAAGAATCCAAGAGAGCATACTTAGGAGAAGAAATGGGATCAAGTACTTTGCCCTGACCAACATTTCAAGTTGAAGCTGTAACAAGGTCATTAAAACATGTCATTGTGGAGCTTTCAGAATCAAGTAGATCTCTTCAGGCAAAAGAAACTCCAAGATCCAGAAATCTGAAGGCCATCAGATGACTTTTACCCTGGTCCTCTCACTCTGAAGTTACATTAGAACTTGAGGGGAAAAAAAGAAGAAGAGCCATTCATAACTATTTCTGTAACCAAATGGTTACCTTCTACTCACCTGCCATAGTGCTTTAGAGCAGCCACAACAGAAGACAGAAATTAGACCAAACCCCAAATTTCCACACAAGACGGTCTCATAAAGGTGCCTTTTGTCCAGTCAGGCAACTCACTGTTGCCTTTCCCTGGGTGCTTATTTACCTCAAGAGCTGCAAGACTGTAGAAAGTAGCATGTTTTGTTCACAAAGAACTATCAAAACTGGAAGATACTCCTTGATAAGATACCACACCGCAGTATGAGAAAGTATCAAAACCAGAAAATACTCCTTGATAAGATACTGCAGTATGTGTATGGCCTTCCATTTCCAACAGGACTAGCTTCTCCTCTTGCAGGAATAAGTATAAAGAGGGTGGGGTTTGGTTGTTTTTTTGTTTTGTTTTGTTGGTTTTTTTTTTTAAATACAGGTCTATTTTTATAGGACTTCTTGCTAACAGAATTTGCTCATCTGAGGACTTCCACGATTAGTGGGTTGACCAAGACACCATCAGTTCAGACAAAACATTTTTCCATGGTACACAGTAGCTGAAAAATAAGATTAAGGTACTTCATAACCTGTTTGGGAACATCAGTGTCCTAACAAACTTTCCGAAATGCAAACTGTTTGTAGCGGTACAAGGTGAGAAGTCATGTAAACAAGCCTTTCTTGAGCTTTCCCGATTATCTACCATTCTGCATTAAGTTCCAAAAATATTTACAGAACATCATCTCAGGGAACCCCAAAATTACAATAGAAAAAGCTATACAAACCAGACAACCTTCATTTAGGCCTCCTAACTTTCCCCTCTCCCAACAGCTCAACTCAACTTCATGAATTAGCATTTGAAGAACCCCATGGCCACCTTGATCCCACCAGTCTTTCAAACAGCAGAAGGCATCTGGGCTTCCTGCGGGCTGAGATCTGTGCACACAGACTCTTGGTGGAACAAAACCGTATTCTGTGTCCATTAGGTTTTTTAGCTTTGCGAGACTGAAGTTTAAGGAGATTTTTGCCAAGAATATGTCGTATCTCTTATGACACAGAAAGGTTAATACATTTCTGTAAGATTTTTCAACCACCAGTAACGCCATCCTGGGAGAGTTCAAGGGTACTCTATCTTACACCAGACACATTTTTCTTCAATAACTGACAAAAAAACAGTTATCAACAAATACGTTAAGTTTTGAAACACCTTTTGTTTTATTCATAGAAAAGTTTAGAGGGTCTTTGAGATCTTTGAGCACTCCAAAATATATTTTAGGAGTTAAGACTAAATTTGAGAAGAAGAGGTTAAAAAACTGGAAAGTTATCCTAAACTTTTGGGAAAGTAAACATTAAAACTTGTGCCATGAAGACCCAAACTTGTAAGCATTCCACCTTTAGTGTCCTATTTCCTCTCAATACATTTTCAAGTATAATTCAGACAGACCAATTTATAAAATTACCCCCAAAGGGACAAAGAGCAATTACTCACCGTAACAACCACAACTAAGAACTTGTATTTAGGTATATGCCTTTAAAACTTGCGCATTCCCCAAGCTCAGACTTCCTGCGTTAGCACCACCTGCAGAGTGTGCCATGTGCTTTCATCCTCCTGACTCCCTGAGCCAACCTTCACTCTTCAGAAGGCTTCCTACTCCTCTGCCTCCTCCCAATCACAGGAACTCCTGATTTGCAGTTTCAAGAAAGGCAAACACAGAGCGCACAGTACACCGTATTTACATGGACAACACCTTCAACTTTTTTTAGTGCTCTAACTAACTTCTCTTGCAAGTCACTTGTCCCTGGAAGCACTCTACTGAGACTACCACGCAACAAGAAGGCTGTACTACGAGTCCGTAGTGAACAGCAGGACTATACTCATAGAGACTCCTATTAGGAAGTGCATAGGAGACACCAATGCATTTCCTAAAGCTGTCTATGCAGGTCCCATGAAGACACCTGCACTTGTCTTAAGAGATATCCTGAGGTGGGACACAGGTGGCATCTGAGCTACAACTTCCACACGTTCCTGATGATGCCCAACTCAAACAAAAATCAAAATAGATATTAGTACCCTTTAATACCTCTATGATCCAGAATATCATTAATCATCATTAGAATTATACAATTCTCTACAAACAGACCACAAAAGCCCTCCTGACATCCAGGGCAGTGAACAGTTTCACTGTTCTTGAACAGTGATGTTGGAATTAAACACCAGCAGATTAATTTCTAGCTCAGATGATGCTAAATACCACTAACAGGAACAGGAAATACGATCATAAAAAACTGGATACGAAGAGGCTTGCTGATTAACTGCCCACAGCCTTCTTCCACAGAGTTCTTTCAGGCCTCTCTTCTCTAAGTCTGGGAGAAGTATCCTCTTCCATACAAAGAGCTGATCCAGAAGCAGTGAAGGATCTTAGAAACTAACGGATACAGACCTGAGATATGAAACCACCTCAACCATGCAGAAACCACAAGGACAAAGCCTTAAGAGAACTTATACCGAAGCATGTCAAGACTCAGTGACAGACAAGGCAATAGCTTTCTGTCCAATGGAACACAAAAGATGTCAGACCTCAGCTAAGAAGATAATTCAGCCTTCACAAGAAGCAAAGAGACTGAATTCCCAAGTGTTATGAATTAAACAATATTCACCATCCACAGCTGTGAGATCATTTGCTGAGAATATCCACTGATATTTTCAAGAACTCTAAGACCACATATCATCTTGGCTTATGGCTTAAGTATTTCACACAGCCTTCCTCCACAAACTAAATGCAGTACCTCCAGATAAGCCACAAAGCCGATCGGCAATTCTGCAGAACGTAGGAGGTGTTAATGCAGATCTGCACCTACTCCAGTGAGAAACCCTGTGTTTGTAGGTCACCCATGCACATTCCACTACCTAGCAAAGAGGCATCTATCAGCCAACATTAAGAGGAAACAGGAAACCCCCCAAAGGATCACCCTGAAAACCCCTAAGCCACGTGCCAGAGGTTCACATGTTAACAGCTATCAATTGACAACTGGATGCCTTATACGTTTAAGCTGTCAAAGCAAGTTTGCCAACCTGTTCCCTATGCATGCACGGTTAGTATCTCATCAGTAACACGAGTAAAGAGGAGACCTCTTTTTTCTTTACGTGTGTTCCTGGCATTAAGACACCTGTGCATTAACATGACATATTGAACTAATTTTGAGGAGGCAGAATTTTCTAACAATGAGGTCACGTACAAAAATTTAAACCTACGTCTAAAATGCATGTTTTTTCCTGAAGTACCTTTTATGGACTCCTCAGTAGGGACAGATTTTCTACAGTCTCTGAACTACAAATCGCAGGTCCATTGCTTTCTTTTCTTCTTCACGGCAAGGAGAACAGCAGAGCCAAGACTAACAGCAACTTGTCAGACTCAGGCTGCCATTATATACCCACATACCATTTTAGTGGGCATGGTGGTGTTTGGTTGACGGTTGGACTCGATGATCTTGGAAGTCTTTTCCAACCTTAATGATTTACACAGCACCGGGCCTGCTGGCGACAGATGGAGTTCAGCTGTCTCACAGGGGGAAAAGGATCATTGCTCGTGAATTGGCAGGGCTCATTGAGAGGGCTTTAAACTAGGTTCGAAGGGGGAAGGGGATAAAACCAGGCTCACTAGAGATGAGCCTAGGGGTGGCGTGCCGATGCCGGGGGCGAAA